GTTTGCCTAATATCCCACCGTACCAGTGCGGTAACTTTTCTTCTCACTAACGTATTGTGCATAGCGAGTGCCACACCCCACTTAGCGGAAACAACATTCCAACTTCAATCGCAATTTCTTCTATTTCTAACTATGACTAGCAAAAAGTGATGAGAATATGATTATCCTTGCCCTTCAGGCCATTGAAAATGACCCGACATTGAGTATACGAGGCGATGCAGGTATCTACTCAGTTGACTTTAGTACTCTAGCTCGCAGGAAACTCGGCCGGCCTTCTCGAGGGAATACTACGCCTAATTGTCGGAAACTTACAGACTTATGACTTAGAAGAGTCAACTATTATTCAGTATATACTTGATCTAGATCCGCGATCATTTTCTCCCGGCTTTGTTGCGTGCAAGATATGGCTAATCGACTACTTGCGGATCGCGACGCGCTTCGGTGGGACCACGATGGGCTTCAAACTTCGTCAAGCGCCACAAAGAGTTAAAGACGCGTTTTACGCGTAGATATGACTATCAGAGGGCCCTGTGCGAGATCCAAACGTCATTGTAGGGTGGGTTTAGCTTGTACGCGACACTGTTGCCAAATACGGCATCCAGGATGAAGATTCCTACAACTTTGATGAGACTGGCTTTGCAATGGGCATTATCTCAACCACCATGGTTGTAACAAGCTCAGACAGACGTGGAAGACCAACTTTAGCACAGCCAGGGAATAGAGACAGTTTTTGTAATCCAAGGCATTAATTCTGAAGGCTGGGCAATTCCGCCATTCATCAGAGTTGCGAGGCTGCATCCAGTGTTCCTAATAGGCGGTCCGTCCAGTCCAGAGGCCGCAAACTGGACCGCCTACTAGTCCAAAAGTCGTGGACTGGACCGCCTGCCTTATACGGTCCACAAAAAGCCCTTGACACCCACTGCCCATTAACCTCACTATTTGACCGGATATCATACGCCAAAAGGTTGTAACTGTGTGTTATACTCTAGTTACTTCCATTCAATTATGCCGTCCTCGTCCCATTGCCGAAGACATTGTGCAGCCCCAATTATGTTTGCCGATAGCCGATTCCTCTTCTTTGTTACCATATCGCCACATTTACTATATAGCCTCTCGTTGTCGGCTTCGATTGGCGGGATGCCATAGATCTCCAGCGCCATCCGGGATAGCCTTGGCCACCGCGATCGATGTAAAATCCAAAAGTTAACTGGATCCCTTACTCTACTAAAGGATGCATCAACTGCGCCTTGGAGCTCGTCCATTTCGTCTGGTGGTGAGGCTTGCTGTTGGGCCGGATTCTTGTACAAGTGTTCCATGGGACCATATAGATCCTCTGTCGAAGGCGACACAGGAGGATTGAGTATCTCGTCCAGGATATCATCGTCAGGCTGCTGTTCGGTTGGCTCTTCTGGAAGTTGTACGTCTTTGTAGTCCCTCCAGAGATCCTGCAGCTGTCTCTCCGCCGCCGCCGGCCACCCATCCGCTTCCCGATCGGACCACATTTGCTTTATCTTGGCAAGCCGATACTTGGGATGGAGTGCTACGGCGGCCACATACACCTCAGTATTATCAAGCTTCTTGTAATACTCATCGAGCTTCTGCCATCCGAGCTGGATGTTAAGCCTGAGATCCTCGTCCGGGTCGTGCTTATAAAGCTCAGCAAGACGCTCGAAGTGGGCTAGTAAAAACTCATAGCAAGGCAGCACCTCCCACATGCAGCCATTGCGTCCTTCCTGCGGACACCCCTCTAGCTTCTTTGTGACCAGCATTAATGGCTTTAAAATCTGCATATACCTCGTAATTGTGATCCAGTCGTCAACAGAGAGTTTATCCTCAACAATTGCGGGTTTTGTTGAAAGTTTAAGTTGTTTGTCCGGGTCCCTTCTCTTGTTTTTTTGCAATGGTTGTTCAAGCCGTGTTGTGAAAGATCGCTCTTCCTTTTCTACATATGCATCTATTGCAGCCCGGTTTTGACAGGCCGTCTCGAAGGCATAGTAATGTGAGTTCCATCGCGTATCATTTGGCCGCTTTAGTTGAGAAGGAGGGCAGCGGCGCTCATCGTCATCAAGGAGATTGTTTTGATGCTCAATCTGGAGCGCTTTGAACCCTCTTAATCGGTTCCCATCAGCATGTCTATCAGTAATCCACATGATAATATTGCGAAGCTTGCCCAGAGCGCCTTTGCGTCTCCATAACTCAAGATCTTCTCGCAGATGGCGGACACCAGCATTTTCCGTCTCAAAAGCCTTCAAATCTTTTCCATACATAATCTGCATGGCCACAAGATTCCACGCACCGTATCCTATGCTTGGTTGGATTGAAGCCGAAGA